TAGACTTTCACCTCTGCTTTTCTCCCTCTAATGCAAGTCAGATAGATGTTGTCAAAGTAGGGAAAGATCTGCTGAAAAACACTTCTAAATGTACATATTAAATGAAGTACATTAAAGTAAAGAATATGGCACAATCTTTAATATGACACAGACATGAGGCACATCAAAGAAGTCAAATATATGTATGCGCAAATGCAGGCAACCAATTGGGGGAGTTAGTGGTTGTTATAGTTTGGTCAGGACTTTTTCCCTTGCCTTTTATCTAACACTTTAACCTGAAACTGAATATTTACATATGTTCACATGCTGCAGTTTCAGAGCAAGTTAGCGACCATGGCATGGTTGCCAGTATTTTCTTTTGGCTTGTTCTTTCTCCAAGAAACAACCTGAATCTGCAAATGTTGTGTTGACCTTGTTTTATACTTTGCTATAACAGTCATTTTTCTCCCTTTGGCAATTTGTTTTGTCTTTGTGCCGTCTGCTCAGAGGGCCAAGCTGAATCGTATTAATATCCATAAAAAAGTAAACTGATGAATAACAAGAAGAAGTTTTCCTTGCAGCAAAGCAATAATTTTATTAATTTTAACATCCATTTGGTATTTTCAACCACAGGGTTGGTTAAATATAAATCAAAGCTTCCACTCCAAAATGAATAGCTTTTTATTAGGTTTTATTTATTTATTATCACTGACTGAAAGACACAGGTTTAGGGTCAGTGCATATGTTCAGCTTCTACAGCACATAAACTAATTTGAGAGCATGGAGAGAGGTGAGGATAGTTCCTTTTATACCAGTCTCACTCATTGCAGCTTTTCGAAGCACATCAGTCATCCAGACATGTCTCACACCCATGTTTGCTAGCAGACAGACGGTTCAGCTGCTCTTATATAAACATTAAAAAAAAAAAACTTCTCTTTCAGGCCACAGAAAACAGCTTACAATCTGTTGTATTCGGTGTTTCTTTCTTATGATGTGCAGTGTTATTATACAAAAGAGACTTGATCACATGAAGATATTTGATGTGCCAATAAAATCTGTGGAAGAAAACAAGTGATTCCACAAATGTCAACAAGCTGATCTGAAAATGCCAATGCCAGAATTATGAACCCTGGTTTGGCATGAATCAAATATTGATGTTGGTTGTGTACCTGCATGAATGTGTGACAGGATTTCTCCTCCTTGCGTGTCAGATTGTGACATCATGTAACTGAGCTGCCTCTCGGAGCTTAAACCTGCTCTCAGGGGAGAAGTCCTACTTTCTCCTTGCACTCCTCTATGGCTCAGTGCGACTCTGCCGGTTGTTGGGAGCAGACTCCTGCCGTCTGTCTGCTTCGGAAATACTCTGATCAAAGCTTGGCAAGAATAGCATTGTCACCCATAGCAAATCTGCTTAGACAAAAGTGCAACCGAGGGAAACTTGGGTCATGTGGAAAGACTTTCTGAGGCTCCCTGATGAAGTTTAGTCGCATGTGTTATTGTACTCGGCAAAGTGTGACATGTGTTTTAATAGGATGCAAAGAGATTATACAGTATAAGGAAAGCATTATTTTCTGTCAGTGATCAAAGCACATTGGGGAATTCAAGGACACATCATTCAGATGTTATGTTTTTTTTAATGAAAGGAGTTTAATATGGCAACACGTCGTGTTATCAGTTTTCATCTTATAATTAAGCAATACTGTACAACTAGTGGTCTTGATAGCACACAAGCTAGCTATTATTTCAACAATATTTAAGCGCCTATACATAACCCGTGTTTAGGTACTGATCCCTTAATTTGAGAAATGGCAATATATTTGAATACAGACCTCAAAGTCAAATATCCTATATGGTGAATGTGAAACTGAGATTTAAACTATCTGATGAAACTGTACGTAAAGATTAGACCTGCTGTTGGGTTCTGGTAGGTAAACAACTCTCTCTGTCTCTGGAAGAAAAATGAAGTATTCCTTTACCAGCAGATCTGACTAGTCTTCCCAATGTAGGACACAGCTCTGCTTTTTCATCTCATTGACAACAAACGGGAATCAGGCAACATCAGAAGTACCCTCACAAACCTCCACCAGTGACAACTTGTCACACCAATGTCACGCCGCAGCAGCCATCTGCCTTGCTTTTATCTTCCCCCCTCTAAGAAAGATCTTTTTGTCTTGTCTTTCACTGTCACTGTCTGTCTCTCCATCTTGCTTCCTTTTGGCACCCTCTCTGTCTCTGTCACATCTCTGGCTCGTTCACTCGTTCTCTCCCTCGGTCACATCGTCCTCTCTGCCTTTTGTTATCGTCTCTTACTTCTACAGTTGAGCAGTGTGAGTTTCAATGATGTATTAAGTGTTCTAGCTTTAAGAAATGTGATATTTTAGAGCAAATGCCAACTAATTCTCATTTTGTCAAATTCAAATATTGCATCAACATGTTACTTTCTACAACATTTCTAACCGACATTTTAATTCATCAGAGCCCTGACTACTGAGAAATCCAAAGGTGGTGAAAAGTGTTTTTGCCCTTGCAAGCAAAACAAACTCCCAGCTGCCTCACGGAGACATTTATTACCTCTTCTGCCACCGGGCCACGTTGTACTCTGACATTTGGCAAGAGATCCTGATATTAGTCTTGAATTCAAATGAACCTTCCTTCCTTCCTTCAGCCATGGCAACTGGCTTTTTATTTTTACTGTAAAATACTGTCGCTCCAGAGCCTCATGTTTCAGGCTTACATTGTTTGGAGGAGAGACCTGACAGGATGTCACTGTTTGTTCAGCTTCTCACCGGGATGTAATGGCTCTCAGATGGCTGTTCATCACAGTGTCATTATCTATGTAAGCTTGTTTACTCTTCAATTATCACTTGCTGGAGTCTGGTCTCTTAATGCAGTTGTGTTGTTTTTTTGAGCATCAACTATCGGAGCATATAAATGCACTAACATATCTAATCTCCCTTATATTCAAATGATATCTAAATCACACTGAATTGATCTGTTGTTGCTGTTCAGTTTGTCCACTTGTCATTCGCAATGAATGATAATAGGAGACTTACATTTTCCTGGATGGGGGTGACAAGTGACATCTTCTGGAATAAATGATGAATCTATGAAATGACCCGTGTGGGAGTGCGCTATAATAACCACCTGACTGATCTCATTACGAGCTAACGTTTATAAACACTTCATCAGTAATCACAGCATATGGAGAGAGTCACAGAGGCAAGCTGTCAAATTCACGTGGGAGAGGGAAATGTGCAAAGGGGGGGGGGGTAGATGAACAACCTTTTTAAAACAAAGGCCAAACGTTCACAGCAGTATGTTAATTTGAATGATACAAGTTTCCTCATACAAACAAGTTATTTAAAAGCATGAGCAGACTTCAGAGACGAGCCATTTTCAAAAAGCAATTATGGCAAACAGTTGACAAATCCTTGACAAGTAATGTAATTATGCACGGAGCAGGTAATTATCCACATGGAAAATGCTTCTCGGTGACATTCCACTCCTTCAGCACAGGATGAAAGCCAAATTCAGATGACCAAACGCAATCTTTTCTCAGCCATCTCAGAAAATCAGAGTGCTCACACAGACCTTATTTCTTGTCGCTTTAAATATCCCTCTTGATCTGCCCTCCACTCCCCACAGGTGGAGCTGACTGTCTTATTAATGAAACTCGGGGCAACCATCTCTCAAACCAACTGACCTCTCTGACCTCATTAAGCACATCACATTGCAAACCTGATTCAGCATTGATTTCTTGATTTTATTTGTTTTAAACGGATAAACACTTTCTTTTTTTAAATGTCATCTTCTCCCTTGTGAGTACTAAGCGTTTGGACTCAGGCAGTAAGTCACTCACTTTCTCAGTTTGTAGTATGGGGTGATGACTAAAATGCAGATATTTTATTTATTAGCACCTGTGGGTGTGAGCATTTGTCATTCAATGCTAACCATGTGAGCCTGTAGAGGGTGATGCATCACTCTGTTGGATGTGTGTCATTGTCTGGGGGAAGGCTCGAGGCTCCACTGTCAGGATGTGTGGGGGTTTGACTACGTCTGAATACTAATATACTGGGAGAAGGTTTAAAAATGCTACGGACAGCAAATGGGACACTGAAAGATGGAAAAAAGTTCATAATTGCGCATGTTTTATACATTTTGATGAATCACCTACTGTTTATATTAAATATTCCAATTGACTCGTGCATAGTCTCTTAACCTCTCTGATATTCAGGCATTCAGTCCACACATTTCTTATCTCATCCTGTTATTTCACATCACCTTTGGCTGGAGGGGACCCCGGTGAAATCCCTTTGCGAATACAGTCATCACTGATTCATTACAGAGGACTTGAAACTGCTCTGGAGAAGGACTAACGGAGGAAAGGACAATTAATCACCTCACAGTCAGAAATCCAGTGTGGAGTAATTCACTGTGGTACAATTAGGATTTGTGCTGAGATGAGGGATATTATTTCAGCAGGATGGGTCTGCAGGTGTCGTCTGAGCTGATTAAAAGCTCACTATGACTGGATGCTTTAAGTGCTGTTGGCCTCATCCAGTCAGAAGTGCATTTTGTTCGCCTGTAAAGCTTTCCCCTGTGTACAAACTGTAGTTAAGGCAGGACGGATGGATCGATCAGACGGTGTTGATTAAACTGATGAGTGTTACAGACACCCTCCCTCTCACAGTGTTTATCTTTCTCAGATGCTAGTTATTGCTTTTGTCTTTTTATCTCTTTGTCCTTGCCTACGTTTTTTTTGTCTGTTCAAAAAAAAATGTCTTCCTTCCTCCATTTTCATGTCGTAGTCGCTCCCACTTTCCTCTTCCTCTTTTTTCGGATTAATAAATTAAGTGCTCAGGCTTGTCCTTGACAAGTCCCAGACAAGGTTTTCCTTCCCGGAACCATTTTTATTTGTATTACATATGTCTTCCTTCTTGTCTCTTATCTCAGGGTTTTTTGCACTCATGTCTCCTCTGTCTTCTCTCTCTCTTGTCTCTTTGTCCTGTATCTTTTTACAGGCATGGCTGACTGAAATCCATGAATACGCTCAACAGGATGTGGTGCTCATGCTGCTTGGAAACAAGGCAAGGCATTGTGGGAAAGATAGAAGAAATATTCTATACACATGAACACTATATGCTGTGTTTCAATTCAATACTATATCATTCATTATTTACCTTTTCTTTGATAAAATAGTTATTGACTTAAATGACAATGCTGCCAATTGTTCTGCCTAAAGTTCTTTTGTCATACATATCTGGGATAAGTCTGGCAATAGTCTATCTTTTTCAAAAAGTATTATTTAACTCGCAAATAAGTAGCCTGTTGTCTGATATAACTTATCCCAATGTGCTGTAGAGATGCAATGTTGTCGAAAGGCTATTATCTCTCCAATTACAATTTGTCTTATTCTTTCAAAGCACACCAACATCTGACATTATCTCAGCCAGCTAATTTGCAAATATCAGCTACACTTTCTTTTTTTTTTCATAATTGCCATTCACGTCCCTCCATCTGAGCAGAGAACAGATGTCTCTGCCTTGGAGCTCTGTCGTCTCTTAGTCCACAACACTCCATATCAGCGCCTAATTAGCATCCTGAGAGTCAATCATGACTCATTAGCTGCCATCAGACCTGAACACCAGGACAGGCTTGTATGTAAACTGTGGACAAATAGCGAGCAGATCAGTGTGTGAGGGGGTGGATGTTGTGGTTTTTCGCACTGATGTTGATGCACGACGCCTCGTGTGACTCTGTGTTTCTGTCTCACCAGGCTGATGCCACTCATGAGAGGGTGGTGAAGAGAGAAGATGGTGAGAGGCTGGCAAAGGTGAATTATAGTGAATCCTTTGATGTTATTTTCCAACTGCATTTGAATGGATGATTTAATTTCTATGGCATATGATAAGATTAGGAATGTTAAAGAAAGCTGGGATTATCCAGAGATCATTTCTTTCTGCTCTGTGAGGAAAAGGAACCGCCTGCAAACCAATAGGATAGATACAAGCTCTGGTCAGGGTCACAAACGACCTGTTGATGGCGGCTGACACTGGATCCCTATCGCTCCTCATCCTCCTGGATCTGACTGCAGCATTCGACACTGTCGACCATAACATCCTCCTTCAGCGCCTCGAACACACCATCGGACTCTCTGACTCCGCCCTGAGCTGGTTCCAGTCCTACCTGTCTGGAAGAACAGAGTACGTCTCCTTGGGAGGTGCGAGGTCCCAGATACACCCTGTCACCTGTGGTGTCCCTCAAGGGTCGGTCCTCGGGCCCACTCTGTTCACCCTGTACACCAGGGGTGGGGAACCTTTTTCCTCAAGGGCCATTTCAATTTTTTCAACATCCTCCGAGGGCCGTACAAATGATTGACCTCTGCTTAAAAATACAAAAATCACAGCCCATTCATTTCGCCTTTCTTTCATGCTGTGCAAAGAAAAAGCAACCTCTTAATCCAGATATCTTACCATGACTTGCGTATGCATGCACGTGCACGGTTGTGGCATGACCACCAATACAGAAAGATATGGACACAAGATGTGTGCAATTTAGTTTCCTTTCCATGTGAACATGATTTAAGTGGGGGGGGACCTAACCACATCATGCCCCCGGGAAGATTTTTTTTTTAAATGTTGAAGTTAAAAGCATCAATCTGGTGCACTTTGAGAGCAAAATTAGGAGCTCTATGGATACATCTCTCAACATCCATATGAAACAGAACTGTAAGCAGATTTCTTTTTCTTTATGGATATTTTACAAATCACTCCTTTCAAACTGTATTCTTGTTTATTAACAACTTTTTTTTACTGTCATATATTTTATACCCGTTTACTTTATTCTCTTATTTTTTTATAACTATAATGATCATATAAAGATGTGCCTCTACCTCACTGGTTGTAGAAAAAGCTTCTTATATTCGTTAGCATAGCTAGCTAACCAGATGCTAATAACAACAAAGTTATTGACTGTATGATCAGTATGACAGATGAACAGATCGCCACTGGGCTTACAACTAAAGACACAGACACGCAAAAACAGCGGCATGTGTACGGCTCCTTATCTGAAGTGCCGGAGCCGTGTTCTGGTGCTCTCAGTCAGAACTGCACCCCTGTCAGACGAGACATATACCACGTGATGACAGGTTAGGCTCGTGTTGTGTTCAAGGACCCTGACCTTGGCCAGGAAAAACAGGCACAAGCTTGTTTAATTATTTTGCGGTCTAGATTACTTAAATTATTTTCTTTTTTGCGTGTGTTTATAAATTACCTTGAGGGCCGTATCAAATTGTCTCGCAGGCCGTATACGGCCCGGGGGCCGGAGGTTCCCCACCCCTGCTGTACACTCTGCCCCTTGGACGTGTCATCAGCAAGCATGGAATATCATTCCATTGCTACGCTGATGACTCGCAGCTATATATAAAGACAGACCCTATCCCACATGCTTCCTCACTGTCACCATCATCATCACCGTTCCCATCAATATCCCTTAACACCTGCATTGAGGAGATAAAAGCTTGGATGCAACAAAACTTCTTGCAGCTTAATAGCTCCAAAACAGAAGCTATTTTAGTGGGCACACCAAACCAGGTCCAGTCATCCCCCATAACCCACATTACCTTTTCTGCCCAAAACATACCCCTCTCCACAGCAGTTACCAACCTGGGTGTAAGATTTGACAGACATCTGACCTTTGACACCCACATCAAACACCTGTGCAAAACCTCCTTCTCCCACCTCAGGAACATTGCAAAACTCCGTCCCACTCTCCCCGTCAGATGCTGAACAACTGGTCCATGCCTTCGTCTCCTCAAGGCTCGATTACTGCAACACTCTCCTCATCGGGACTCCTAGCGGGAGGCTTCAGAAGCTCCAATACGTACAGAACAGTGCCGCTAGGATCCTGATGAGGGTGAGAAAATACAACCACATCACACCCGTTCTTCATTCCCTCCACTGGCTTCCTGTCTCATTCAGGATCGAATACAAGATCGCACTACTGACCCATCAATGCATCCACGGGAACGCTCCTCCATACCTGAAGGAACTTCTCACATCTCAAACCTCCACACGCAACCTCCGCTCCACAACCAACCATCGGCTTCGCCCCCCGAGGACCAAACTCTGCACAATGGGGGATGGGGCTTTCTGTGCAGCTGCTCCTCACCTGTGGAATTCCCTCCCAGACCACCTGAGGACTCCACAGACCACTGACGCCTTCAAGAAAGGCCTAAAAACCTTTCTTTTAAAAAAAGCTTTTGATTAAACTTTTGTTTATTTTGGTTGTTTTTATTATGCCTCCTGTAGCACCTTGGGATTGCTGTTAGCAATGAAAGGTGCTTTACAAATCGAATTTATTATTATTATTATTATTATTATTATTATTATTATACATCAAAGAAAGACACCTCGGATCTAGATTATTATCATTATTCTGCCTTGTGTCATTTTCTATCAAAGTTGTAAGACCTTCTGCAGAATATGTATTCATCATGCCGATCATACACAGTTTCATAGTCCTGAGGCCTGTACTACGAAGCTGGATTTTCGCTTAGCCGGCTAACTTCAGGGAAATCTCTGGCTTTCCGGTCCTACGACGCTGGTTCTCTTTTTAGCAGGCTAGATTTCCATGGTAACTTATGCTGAGCGGCAAACCTGCTCCGGAGCAGGTTAGGTGGCAGGCTAAGAGATCAACTCAGTGAAAGCACCGCCTGCTGACCAATCAGAGCTCCGTGTGCGGAGTTTAAAGCGATCAATTCATATTACAGGATAGAGGAAATACAGAAAAACTGCCGTTGCAGGAAAGACGGCCGGCCAAAATCAACTGACTGTGTGAACGTGAAAATTAATAGAATATCACCTCCCATCTTCAGAGCAATCTGACTATTATAATATTAGCGTTAAGAAAGCTTACTTAAATATCTGCCACGACATAAGTAACCGGATCAGAGTAACATTAAGTACAGTCTGCGGCACTGAGTGCAGACGTCGATGTGTCTTATCATTCATATCATATCACATCATAATGTATCATTTCCTTATTTGAGTCAGCTTCTTGAGCCGTATCTGGCCGTGCAACACTCACAGTGTCACATACTGTATGCAGAAGTATTATTTTAAGCAACACATTAAGTTGACGAAACACTCGAGTCAAATTCTCCTAATTAAAGTCAGATCCACTCGTGTCTTGGACGGGGCAGTGATATCATAAACCTGTTAATGTACGCATTCAAACGCTTTTTCTTTTACCAGCTGTATTCACCTTGCAGGTGCAGCTATGTGGCTTTTATCCTGGATAAAGTGTTTAAGTCATGGATGTTTAAAGTTTAACTTCTTCATATTTGACTAATATTAAAGTTCACTTTTCATTCAGGAAGTATGACGCTGCGCTGCCAGTACGCTTGTCCGTGTTTGAGATTGGTCGAATGCTCCAAATACCACCCCTTTCATGTGAACGTGCACCTAACTAGATAGGACACGGCTGGCTTGAGCGATCCACTTGATAACCAGCGTCGTAGTACAGTTTAGCGAGAGCGTGTATGTTTTGGCTTAGGCCAACCGGCTAACTCAAACATATCCAGGTTATGTTGAACCAGCTTCGTAGTACAGGCCTCTGGTGGCTACAAATACAAGCACAAAGCACTAAAACCAGAAGCAAATATTTCCTTTCATCCATCTCATGACTATTGCTTCACTGCATGCACACAGAACAAATGGCCGACAGCCAAGAGATTCCCCCAAGAAGTGGGAGCATCAAGTGCCACAAAGTAACTTCAGACTCAGACTGGAAGGTAAGGAGGAACATCAGTTATCGCTGTGGGCTGAGACAAATTCCCCTGCAGTGGGAAAGCACGGAGACATATTTATCACATCTATGCTGGATTTACCCAAAGTAAACTAGTTCACTGTTGTGCTGCAAAAGTTCTGTTGTAAACTTTTTTTAACAGTCTTCATTTCAAAGACAAATAAAATGGAGTATCAGTGAAGCAGGAGCCTTTAAAAGTGTTTAATAATCTTACATCTTTTGGGTCTTCTAAACTAGATTCACCAATAACTGTCTGTGCTTTCACTCTGCAGGAGTTTGGAGTTCCCTTCATGGAGACCAGCGCCAGGTCAGGTCTCAATGTAGAGCTGGCCTTCAACGGTGTGGCGAAGTGAGTATCGTTCTCTGTACGAGTGTTGTGGATCGGTCTGATTAAGACACGTTTCTTCATTTTAATCTACTTAATATTTGCTTATAAATCTACGAAGATGAAAAGATCTAACTGCACAATACTGTCATTAAGGAATATAAAAATGTGATTGATGTGAACGTAAAAAATGTTTTAATTCAAAACTTGCTAACTTTTCTACTCCAGACTTGAGTTATTGACTCACCGAGAAAACAATATATATCTGTTAAACCCTTTAAAATGTCAAAAATCCAGAATGTATGAATATTAAAATGGTTATGTTTAGTTTAACTGCTTGACACATGTTATCTACTTCACTCTAATTCTCATGTATATGCCATGCATTTTATATACAGTACTTTATCTAAAAAACAATACATGATAGAAACGTTGTGCTTACATAACACTTTCCTACATTCGTTTTTTGAGAAACGTAAGACACAAAATGATACTTTGCAGTGTTTACGTTGGCTGCATTTTGTTTAAACTCACCTTATAATCTCTTTTTGTCTCAGGGAGCTGAAGCACCGCTCTATAAAGGATCCCATTGAGAAGTTTAAGCTCCAGGAGTATGTAAACAAGGAGATGAAGACCACCGGATGCTGCAGGTCTTAAAGCCTGCCCTCATCATCCTCTGGATCTGAGAGTGTGTGTTTGTGTGTGAGGATCACTCGTGTTCGTACTCTGTTTTCCTATCTGGCCTGATCTGAGATAAGAGTCGGCTCCAGCGAGGGATACATCTTGTTGCCCTTCATTTTTCTCCACTCTCAAATCGCCCTCCATCTGTTGTTCTGCACTCCTCTCACTGCCCTATTCTGTTTTGTCTGTCCTGCTTTTCCTCAATCATCTCCATCCTGCAGCTGTGAAAGTAGCCCCGTAGTGTGGTGTGCAAAGGATAACCCTGCACAACTCCATTATTAACATATTAATGGACATTTCCTGCCGTAACTGTAGCTGCATGACATTTTTAACCCAGAATCAATTGGGTTTAATTGTAAAGGGATTTAAAACCCTTTACAATATACCTTGTTTTGTAATGCTATTTATTTCTCACATCCATTTAAAATGTTACAATGGTATTTCTGGTTGAATGTTCTCTTCTTGAAGAGCGTGTGGATGAATGTTAATATAAAAGATGTATTTTGATGTGTGTTTGGTCCATGGTCTAGTGTTAATTTCAGTAAATAAACAGGTTCCTTGGAGTCAGTTTAGCTCACCAGCATAAACTCAATCTAAGCATTTCCATGATTCAGCTGTGGATATAGGGAAACATGTCTTACTTGTAATCATGTATATTGCTATTCTGTATACAAAGATATGATGTACAGAAGAGCATCGTGAGCCACATTAAAGTATTTTATTAGATTTGAATTCATGCTAGATGCAAAAATGAAATATACAGTAGTTTAAACAAGCATTCAGAAACAAGGCAGTGCATGGGTCAAAGAACCTTAAACATGTTTGGTATATTTTCAATATTAGAGGATCAATGTTGAGTCTTGAAAAGCTCTAATGCAACCTTTCTTCTAAATGAATATTTATGCTTTAGTTATTAAATTGTTTAAATCAGGATCTTACAAACACGATGTGAAACGTTTTTTTTGCTTGTAAAAAAAACATAACTGTGGAAAATAGCACTTTAGATCGTAGATAAGAGTATGTGTGCAATTGTTGGGGGTATATTGGGGAAATGAAGACCTACAGTATTGTGTATATTTCTCTTGTTTTATTAGTAGTCAGTGTGCAAACATTAGTAGACAGTTTTTTTTTCCATTCATCATGAATATATAAATGGGTAGATAGTGCCATGCTTTCTGAAATGTCCGACGAGTACATTTTCTTATAATCTGTTAACAGGATTAAACTGTTCTTTGTAAAAGAAGCATAGGCCTCTTTTTGTACAGCTTGCTTTGGTAGGTTTCACTTTATGTCTAGAAACTGGTTATCTCTGTACAGTATGTACTGCACTTTTTCATATTTCTTGAATCTTGATGTTCAGAGTAATGTATTATTGGTTCCACTACTTTTTAATGTGCAACTTCTTTCTTGTAACTGAAAGTTAACTACAATAAAACACAGGGAATGTGGCTTTTATCCTTAATATTGACCCCATTTCAGTTTTACTCGGACAACTTCGCAGTGAGTTCAGAACATGAGTTATAAAACGCTGTGTGGTGGAGAATAAAGTGTTGGTGACGCTTAAGCAGGGCACTCGTTTGATATAAAGGTGATACTGCCCCATCGCAATACTGCGCAAAAGCATCTGCACACCTCTCTTTTATGCATTTAGTCCTGGGCTAGTACAAGTCCCTCAAGTTTTGGGTGGGTGGGGGGGGGGGTCATAGTAAGTGTAAAGCTTGTCCTTTGTCTCCCTCTGCTGGATAAATAATCATATCACTTAAGTCAATACTTGAAAAGGATCACAATGTACTGGTTTACAAAAGATATTCAATTCTTAAATGTGATTGGAAAAAAAATCAATGCAGTTAATATTTAGCTGCATGAATATATATTAAAAAAAGCAAAAATAAAGCAAACCTGCAATGCTTGGCACTTATTAATATATAGCAGATATATATTAAAAGCTGCACATAGCAAATCAGACAATTAAAAAAATAAATACATTGAGAATTAAATATTGTACCCTACATGAAAACAAATGAGTATATACAGACCATGTTTGTATTGTTCCTTATTTACAGAATCTTTGCAGTTTGTCAGATAATCTCTTAGTTTGCATATAACTGGCCAGAAGGGTTCTGTTTGTACATTTGGTTGAAATGCAAGGCTTCTTCAGTTGTATTAAACATCAAAGTATTTTAAGTATTCATACTTGGAACATAAAAAAACTTATTTTGACATCTGAGCAGCAACAATTCTGATTCCTTCAAGCAATCTTTTGCACATTAAGGTCAAGATGACTGACCTCTTTCACGTATATACTGTAAGTCACATAACAGATGAGGGAGTTAGGAGTGATTCTGAGCAGGATGGTACAGTGAAGGAGTCACTGTGGGAATGCTTACGGGCTCACCTTCATGTCTTTTTCTTTGTCACCCTTAAGTCTTTATGAAGACTTCAATAATGAGACTACAAACATATGTCAGGCCCTTCTCTTCCGCCAGATCCACTCCCTGCACCAACAGGTCTTCAAACACTACGACAGTCATGGTTTGTGCTTAAAGTAGGCCTCCACTGCAGAGAGAATATAAACAAATATATATCAGACTCCAACAATGAGGGGAAAAGAGCTAAGTAACAATTTGACTTAGTTGGCTGTTAAACTCACCTGCATACTCCTGAGGCTGCATTGGTCTGTTGATAACCGTCTGAAATGCAGCGATCCAGTCTTTCTGATCCTTTTCAGTCTCACACGCACAGAGAAACTTCCTGTCTGGGGTTACTATGGTGATTCCAAACTGCCAATGGTAGCCCTGGATATTCGGGGGGAGGCCCGGGAGCACGATGTAGCTGTTTTCCCTACTGCCAATGAACACCTCGCCTCGCGCATAGGCATCCTGGCAGAGCAGTGAGGAACACAGGGTTTAATCATCTTGAATTAAGCAAATAAAACTGATTTGTAGTTTTCACTATGGGGCGCTAAAGCCAAAAGCTAGATTTATCTTAGATAGATCTAATAGGAAAATGAATATCTAATACGATTTTGAAGACATTTTCCCTTTAAACAGACTAATGCACAGTAGGAAAAAGGACTATCTGCTGGTCACATACACATAAAGGGGTTTATTAATGCAAACAGTTTTGATACCAGTGGGTCTTTGAAGTACATGAGCCTCCTGTCGTCCATCGTGAACCATCTCTTCTTGAAGCCCTCTGTGTGCTGTGGGACAAACATGGCATTAGCTCAATTCATTCAGCAAATGTATAACTTTGCTTTTATACTTTGCAAGACACTGTTATAGGTTTTGCATATTTCCATCATTTGTAAAAAGAGTATTCCATTAACAGAAAACTGCATTACCTTTGGACCGGTCTTCTCCATGTAACCTTCCTTTATGTAGTTCCTTGTTAGCTTTTGCAACAACTAGACAAACAAAAAAGTGAATAAGTAATCAATGAGTGTGAGTGTATGTGTGCAGGGCCTAAGCCAGATTCCCAGAAATAGTGTGACAAAACGTTTTTATTTAACTATTTTTTTATAATTTAATTATAATAATAATTTAATTATAATTATAATTTTTATAATTTTTATTTTTTTATAATATATTTTTTTATAATTTATAATTTTATAATTTATAATTTTATAATTTTTACTAAGTATTTATTTTATTTATTTCTCCCAGTCTGGCAATCAAATTAGCATTACTTGTCATTTTTAAATTGGAGAAAGTAATGCAAAAAAGGTATTCTCAGCCTGAACTGTATGTATGTGTAGATGTACTGTACTCACCTCAGATTTGGAAGCTCCTGGAAAAGCCACCTCCAGGTAGTGATACCTGGCAGCTCTAATGGCGTTGAACCAGTCCACCATTTCCTTCAAGAAAGGACATCAGGACTTTTAGTGACAGACTATTTACTGAAGAATATTCTCCTCAGTCACAAAGTCTGCACTGAGAATCCATAAATACCCCAGCAATACATTAGGCACACATTACAAGACAAAATAGCTTTTTCTAAATGGCATTTTTAAAAGCTCTAAAGCCAAGGGAAATGTGCTCCATTTGAAAGAGACCAGCATATTGTCACAATTGTATTTATTATGCTTTATGAGTTTTTGGATGCCTTTAGAAATGAAGGATTAATAGTTATTATTTAAATAAACTTCTAATACACAGCCTTGTAATGACAAACCATTTCCACTAGAGGGACTCTTATACCTTTTCCTACAAACACTCCTGCTCTTTTCTTCCCCCACCAAAAAACCCCAAACAGCATCACTGCCCCTCACCTTTCCATCCTCCTGGTAAATGAAGATATTCCTAGTGCTGTTGTCCTTCAAATATGTTATCTGCAGGCCGTTGTTAACGCCGATTTTTGTTGGCTGGAAAGTGGCATTCACAGTGTTGATCTTCAATATCGCTTTGGGCTCTCTGGCCTACAGAGAGGAAAAAACATTGTTAGAATTATATGAATAGAATAGAAAAGAATGGAGATCACTGCATATCTTCAGAGAGTGACTTATTTTGAACAACGGCAGATTTCAACATTCCTCGTCAAATCAATACAAATTTAGTAAAAATAGACAGTGTTATAAAACACTCACATCATGCTTGTTGAAATACTTCAAAACACCTTCCCGTTCTGACAGAATAAATTTCCGGCTGAGGAACTGTCCGTTGTCTCTGCCTCGTTTCCATAGAAACCCCTCTCTGTAGCCTGCCACAAGGGTCCCGTTACAGTGACAGAGAGGATGAATACAGAGACAGCACAGAGGGAAAACACACACATTTTAGACAAAACAATAATTACCATTCCACAAATCTAAGATAAGAATTCACACGAGAGAAAATCCAAAATGGATTAATATAAGTGGGAAATGAAGCTCTGACAGACTCTGCGGTAAATTAAGTCAAATGAATGCTTACATGTTGGTCGTTATAAAAAAACGTGCCTTAAAACTGTATGTAATGTTTCATTACGCAGCAGTTGCCATTTGAGAGTGTAAGAGATCTTTAAGTATGTCATTATATACATGACCCTGATCCGGAAACAATAGAGACCGCTGAAAGCTTCTACGTTACAAAGACCTGTCATATTGTTTGTGCACTTTTAGCTTTTGTGGTCAACATTCTCAGCAGCTCGGCAGTGGTGAACACACACACACACACACACACACACACACACACACACACACACACACACACACACACACACACACACACACACACACACACACACACACACATCTTGTTGGCTCTGTTCTTGACAGTGGCCTCTCTGTGCCCAATATCCAGCATAAGCCAACAGAAAGAAATGCATCGTCATTGCTCTATGTTCAACGGCCAATATAGACCCACAAACTTACTTGCACAAATCAACTGCATGGCAATATTCAACAGAATCATTTTGACTCTAAATATCTGAGAAATGGATTTGAATTACTATAATAAAGTGACTCTTTATTTAGGGTTTCCAGATGAAATAAACAAGACGTGTTTGCACAGCTAAGGAACCTAGAGACGTAGACATTGCTCATTAGCTGGTGTTATCTAAAAAAGAATATTGCAAACTACTTAAATATTTGTATTGTTATTTTTATTATTTTATTTGTAGCAAGATACTTTTACCACTTTTTAGCATATTCTATTATCATTTTCATTTGGTTTAATTTGAGAGCCCATAAGTTTCAGTTCCAACTTGACTGAGTCTATAATCAGAAATATAAAAATAACCCCCTGTGATACAGTAGAAACAACCTATACAAGTATTTCCCCGGAGCTGAACAAGAGAAGTATTTGTGCTAAAAAAGTGCAATGCAATGACAAGCAAAGAACAGAGATTTCTTTAGAGAGACTTGCCAGTACATTGCCACTCTCCTTTGTGAAATAAAACTGATCACTTCCGATCCCTTTGGCCCTTCATTGCTTCTTGTACAGTAATAAAGTAGTCATGATGTGGGAAGCACACAGCACTAAACTTCTGGTTGATAAATGGCTTCATCAATTATTTATTAATCTAGAAGTTGTGCTCCTCCGCTGAGAGGAGGAGGGTCAGAATGTGGAGAGGAGAACAAGAGAATTCATTCACTGTTACAACAGGGTGTTAGATATTTGTAGACACTTGGGAGAGTATGGCACGTTTTGGACCAGAGTGTATGTCTTTCTTCAGGTTTATACATATCAGGGCTCTTCTTCCCTGGCATAACATCTAGAAGTAATGATATATAGAACATTTGTACACAAAAGAGGCCATTCTCCCTTCGTGGCAGAGACACAGAGCCACATGCTCCTCAGCCTCTGCACAGCACAACACAGGAAGCCATTGACAAAGAGGCAGAGACACAGTGGGAGAGTTTGACAGTCATGAGACTCAGATATGATCTTTTATGACCTTAAAGTCAGGTTTTGACTTTCCTCGTTTTCCCCGTTCAGCTCACAGTGAAGGCATAACTGAAATGACCTAATGATGCATACATCATTA